CTCTATACACACACACAACACAAACCCACAGACAGAAATTAAGAAAATTCATGCAGCCTTCACGTGCTATCAGAAATGATCATAAATACGGGTTTCCTAGTCAGAAATTACACATGAATGGCCTCTCTAATCGTATTATACCTTTTGGCTTTAATAAGATTTGCCCAAGAAACAGGCAAGAATAAATAGGCTGTCCACCATGATTTCTGTTCTTTCTGACAACAAAGCACTTGACCACAACAAACTCATAATTACAACTTCAGAAGCAGGAATTAGGACGTTTCCAGTAGCACTTGAAGGCAGCATAAGAACTAGCTTTTTGTCTCCGTCATTGACCAAAACAAGCATTTATTAAGAAGTTAATTATCATATAAATATGAGAAGTAAGATGAGAAGGGTTACAAACAGGCTACTAAATTATTTTTATTACATACAATTTTATAATTAGCATTACATTACTTAATTTATACAATATTATTTTATGTAAAATGTAAATTAGTGCAAGTTTATGAGTACTGTACCTGTAAGATGTCTTGCTCTGTCAGCTCAATGAGCAGTTCGAGGTTGTGTTCCAGCTCCGGTAAGGAGAAGCCAGATGTCTTCTGTTCTCGTGTGCTCACACTCAAAGGGGCCTCCTCAGGAACACTGTGCTTCTGACTCATATGACTGTAACTGTGATACACCTTCTGCTCTCTGCCTGTCATATCGATCACCTGAAACACATGAGGGATGGGTTAACTGTTTCTTGTGAGATATATAAAAGACTATTGTGCATTACTCCAAGTGTTCTGCACTCTCACCTTAACCTGAGCCAGTTCTCCAGCAGGTCTGCTCATGCTCCTGTTGGTCAGCTTGCCATGAGCTTTTAGCTCTTCCACAGTCTTGTAAGAATATTTGGGCTTTTTCTTTGCCGTTCCTGCTTCTTTACGCCATTGCCCCAACTCCCTCTGAAACTCCTTCAAAGATGGAATTAAAAATAAAAATAAAAATATGAAAACAGGATAGGTGATGAAAAATTTGGCCTGCTGCTGATCTGGGGCGCATTTCCAAAAAGCATTGATAGCCAAATAGGGTCTCAAGTTTCGTTGAACTCTGTTGGTAACAACAGATCTTGTGACCATAGTTGCTTTTAGGAAATGCACTCCCTGTTCAGTCAGATGCTTTTTTTTGTTTCCTGACCAAAAGAGAAAACTATTGAGTTCTATCCATTTTGTATTCAAAAAGATCCCTTTATGTCATTTAAATTGCTTATTTGGATGTGTATTTTTTAAACAACACTGTTTGAGCATCTGAATTTGATTTATCCACTGCAACCACCAAGAATTTGTTAGTTTTGACTTACATTCTCCTCCTCCTCCTCAGAGTCTACAGCAGGGAAATCCTGCAGGGACTGCTGGGTCCTCTCATTACCATATGCACCAACTGCTCCCTTCCCCTTTCGCAACTTAGCCTCAATCGGGTTCACAATACCTGTACACAAAGATTTCCATAAGAGGCCATTCACATCATAACCCCATCCCCAAGTAAACACATGATGCACAACATAATTCACAATAAGCTAAATGCAGCAAAACCAGTACACTGAGGTATGAAATAAAGGACTGTTGTTTTACCTTGAGCATTTTTGCCCAATCCTTTTCCTGGAACGTAGCCCATCTTCTGCAGAAGTTTTTGACCAATGCCTCGTGTGTGTTTCTCCCAGGATCCCAAGTCCTGCCCTGTTCTGATACCACCTGCAAACCTTTGGGATGTCTTAAAGCTCACACCCTAAAATAAAGAATTCAAATACATACTGTATATTACACAACTGTTCAGACATTTGGGATCAATAAGACTTTTTATTTATAAGGATTTGTTTAACTGAGAAAAAAAGATCAGATTGATCAGATTTAATTGATCAGAATTTCCACAAAACTATTAAGCAGCACAACGGTTTCAACATTGATAATAATAATAAA